CTGAGAGGCGTGAGAACCCAGGAGTGTGCGAAAAATGTTTTAAATCACAAATTCACCTTTGGGAGGACGAGGATGCGGTTGGTCTCTCTAGCGACCCGTGCCGCCTCAATGACATGGATCTTGGCGTTGGTGAGCTGCTCCTCCACCGCTGCAAACACCAGATACTTGCGATTGGCAAAGTCCTGCATCGAAACAACAACAATAAGGAGGAATTTGACAAACAATAACACACACGCATGCGCACGCACGCGCGCGCGCACACACGCGCGCACATACACACACACACACACACACACGAGGGACAAGAGAGGTGTACAATATTCCGATGTCCTAGAGTCCTTTTCACACAGCAATAATGTAACTGAAATTGGAATCAGTTGGAACAGCTAACACATGACCCGGAAATGTACCCAAGACCAGCAGGTGCAGCTCGTGTGCTTACCGTGAGTTTGGAGAACGGCATGCCAGGCACAGGCCAGCACGACTCAGGCCAGTGATTGCACGGACTGTCCTGATCACTTGGATTGCTGCCGCTGCTGCTGCTGTTGCTGCCGGTGGTGGTGTTGATACTACCCTCATCTCGTTCTGTGGAGTCCTGTAAGAGGTCTTTCGTATAGTTCCTCTCTATCTCTTGCACTTTCCCGCAAAGAGAATCGATTTGGGCAGAAACGTTCGACACCGATAACTTCTGGGCTTTAACGCCTCGCTTAAAGAAATGGTTTTCAGGGAAGCGACTCAGGAGATTGTGCTTCCACTCCTTGCTGCACACGATTCCTAGATACTCATTTTTAATGTTATCCACGTCAGCAGGAGTTACAAAACCGACATGGCTAACTGAAGCTGGAGAGAAACTTCGGTCTTGGTTCTGGATCTCTATAGCCGCTCGCTCTGAAGCTTGGATCGCAAGTTGCTGCATCGCCGAGCATAAACCGGCTTTGCACCTAGTTAAGCGCGACGGATTAAATTCAGTCCTCGTGGCACCAGGGAGGTTAGCGGCTGCTTGAAGAACATCCACGCAATTGATTGTGATGTTCAAGCGAACGCCTTTTAGGCTGTTGTCCTCAATCCGCGATACAGCGTCGATCTTCTCGGGTATAAGTCTCCATGTTCCATTGACGTCGCCTTTTTAAATCCCGCGTTGCGAATGTGGCGCTCGTTGCATTCATAGCAGAAAAGCGTAGAACGCTGGATTGAAAACGAGTAGCCCAGGAGTAAGGCAGTGAGAAGGCTCAGAAAGAGAAGCAGCTTGGAAATACGCGACGTGGCCAGTTTGCGGGGATTGGCCAGCCATGGTCGTCGCCTCACGGATTTGCTTGGGGTTTCAATGGTCGAATAACACTCGCTTCGGTCACCGCTACGCGAATCCTTGAAGCCGCTATCGTTTCCGCTGATTGTGTTAGTACTAGCGGAAGCTATGCGACCAAGTGACCCTGTCATATCTTAGCGGAGTGAATGGCGTAGCTGAGGAGGTTGTGAATCGTGATAAGAGGCTGGTGGTCGGTGATAAGCACGCACCAGGACGAGCATTCACAACCTATCCTCCATAAAAGGTGCTGGGAATGGATCTTCTAGCTTTGAGAATGTTTGTTCCAGCCATTCCGTATCTACATTTAATAAAGACTGCATACCAGCCTAATTTGTTCCAATTGTGATGGGGTAACAATCTTAGGCACATACATCAACAGATTAGCATGATTTTATCAATATTTCGTAATCATGCTGCTCGTCCTGCACATAGCAATATCACCAGGTAATCAGCAGCCATAAAATTATGCTGGGTGACGTATGCGAGTGAGAAAGGTTGGCAATGCTGTACCTTTGAAGGTGAATGATCTGCGGTTTGGAACCTGCAAAGAGGGGAGAAAGATGATGTATCAGTTGAATACATAAGACTGGGAGACCTGGAAAGCCAACGTTAGAAGTGCATCAGCAGCGAGGTGGTGCGATGAAGAACCACCACAAACAAAGCAGGGGCATGGTAGGACACAGGGTGTTCAAGGACTGCACAACATTCTACCAGTGGTCTAAATTCTATGAACAGAATCCTTGCAGTAGCCCCTTTGAAAGCAGCCTGATTTTGATGTTTCTCACCCTAGCTTCTCCATGTAGAATGCTCTGGCAGATGTATTTTCCTTCTGGACTGTAAGAAAGATGGCTTCGAGCTCACACTGATAAAACAAAATGGATACAAGACGGTGAAAAGAACACAGAAGGTGAGAGATGGAGAAGCTTAGAGAAGAACAAGACATATGATAAAATAACATTGAAACAGTTGTCAACACCACAACATTGATAGCTGAGAGCAGAAAAATGAAACCCGAAAGTCACATATCTGAAATTGGTTCAGCTGTCATACCTTCTCTGCCATGAGTTCAGCAATCCTCATTAGCTTGCTGCCAATTCCCATCCCTTGATATTCAGCCTCCACTTGTAACTCATACACGTACAGAGAGGCCATCTCATTCTCCTCAACAATGCGGAAGTGCATAAAGCCCACATGCTTGCATTCTGTGGTGCCATCTATTCCCGTGCATCCCCCATTCATCGCTTGATACGGGAAATTAGCATTCTGCCGTTGGCTCTTGACACTGCGTGCTGCTCTTGGGTTGAATGGTTTTTGGTGCTGAACCTGTTGTTGAAAACATCTATCCTCCTGCATCTGAAGTCTGGAAGACTGGCAATCTTGAAGCTGTGAAGGGTTAGCAGGAGTCATGCTCCCTGAAGCCTCTGTGCTTCTGGCCTCAACCATGCCTTGAACCATGCTCTCTGCAGTTACAATTTGCACACCTGTGGTTGCTTTGTTGGTCTTCGGCTGCTTGAGAAAGAGATAAACTGCGCCAGGCTCCATTGCTTCTGTCAGCTTGCCAGAAAGCACTTGGGGCCAAATGGATGGTGCAAAATGCTCCTCCATGTTTCTCTGCCACGTGTATTGGAGGAGCCAAAGATGTATAGCACATTCCGTAAAATTCTCCCTCGGCTTTGCAACTCTTTGCGCCTAAATGAGCAATCCACAGTAAGTCAAACAAGAACCGGGGAAGCTAGATGCGACGGTCGTACCTTGAGCAAATCTTTCACCCAAATTTCCTCATCATGAGTCAAAGCTCTGCTCTGCTTTTTCTCCAGCTGGAAAGCCATTCCTGCAGCGGAGAACGAGCAGCTGAAAACGTGCAGATGTCTCCTGACGATAGTGCGACTTATTATCTGTTGAGAGCTGATCTCCAGCGCATTTCCATTTTTCGTCAATCCGCACGCAGCTCACCGTTTCTGGTCATCATCTCTCGTGGTAGTTCCATAATTTCCACATTCTTGACAGCGCTTTTGATTCGTTGACGCAAGCTCTTGCGAGCCATGTAGGATGTCCTATAACTGCAGCGCAAAGGCCTTCACGTTAGGTGCAGAAGCTAGCCCAGACGTGTCTAGTAGGGGCAATACAACTTCAAAGGACCTACTGTCGTACGCTCTGATAACTCTGATCTGACCGTCAAAACCAATCTGGGGCAAACCTCTTCCGCGAAGAGTCGGAACTGAACCTTTTCCTGGCGTCACGAAAACGTCACGAAACCCGGAGGGATACCCCATGCATTCGCGAACTGAATTTCACGCCACCTGAACATTGGTTATTTTCCTGTCCGAATCTTCGCGAACTTGCTGCCGGGGCAGTGTTCGCCAATCCCAGGGGTTCCCTGCGGCGCGAAATCTGGGTCTTCCATATTCCAAGCGTCCCCTCACTGAAATCTAGGTTCCTGGAAATCTAGACTACAAAGCAGCCTAGACTTCATTTCGACCACGAAGTTGCTGAAATTTCTTCCTTCGACTTTCACTTTTACGAAGCAAATCCATCTGCTCTTATCCTTTCTTCCAGCCAACCGGACATTTCGTGCGTTTTATATATGGTCCTCGCAATGGCTGCAGAAGCACAAATCAAGAAAGCTGACATGTCTGAGGAGATGCAGAAAGACGCCATTGCAATAGCGTCTGAGGTTAGCCATGTCTGCAAATTAAGCTTCCGATCACCGCTCTGCACTATTGGCTAACATGCTGTGCATCATGTCCAGGCAATGGAATCAAAAACATCTCAACAAGACATTGCTCTCCACATAAAGACGGCGTTCGATGAGAAGCACACGGCCGTCTGGCACTGCATCGTTGGGAAGAACTTCGGTGAGGAATTATGAGAGTCTCTCGGATGTATCTTCGGACTGCGGATGTGGAACACGGCCATAAGAACTCCATTGTTGTCACTGCAGGGTCGTACGTGACGCATGAGGAAAAGCATTTCATTTACTTCTTTCTCAAGGGCCATGCGATCCTGCTCTTCAAGGCTGGTTTCGCCAACACATAACTTCGCTGAAACCAATTTGGCGAGTCATGTCAAGGTGGCAAGAGATGCTATCTCTTTGGCAAAGGCTGTGCCATTTCAGACAGAGTCTGCAAGAAATGTTCAAACTATTGCTTAGCACTCCTGTGTACATTATGAATCACTTTGTAACATGCAGAGGGTTAGAGAACAAGACGCGAAACCATCCATACCGCCTTCAGGAGTGACACAGGCCCTTGAGATGAACCTGAGACCCAATTGGCTGACAGAAGAGGGCAGTGTCACACTATGCCATGCTACCATAGTGGCCTACGGAATCATTAACAATTTATAGACCTTAACCAGAGTGTTTTGGCACCGAGACTTTTGTCATGAACCTTCAGAGACTAACTAGCTCGTCAGTTAGATTCAGGGACCTTCATGCCGCCACCCCGCTTCCTTGTTTCCAGCCTGCGACACATAACATGGCGCCAAAAAGACATACATTACACAAGTTTTGATGGCTCTTATCCATCACACACTCTATCTTGTGACACACCCATTCAGCACCTTTTCCACCCACTGCCCCTTTTCCACCCCACATGCTCCTGGAAAGCCCCACTCTCTCTCCCATCTCTACCTAAGATTCTACAACCACCCATATGTAAATCAAGGAAAAACAAACACACAAAAAGGTACTCACGAGGGTGCGAGCTTCCCCAGGCTGAGGAGGTAGTCACCCGTCTCCTCATCATACACGCTCCCATTGATCTCCACTCGGTACGACATGTTGGGCTTCGATGGTAGCCCTCTCTTCATGAGCCGATCCAGGTCCTTCTTGTGCAGCTCCCTCCCGTTCACATACACCCGCGTCGCGCCTCCCGCACAGTCCACCGGGATCGGCGTCCCAAACTCAATACCCGGCTGCTCAAATAGAACGCACACAGGCAGTGGAGGGAAGGGAATAAACAGAAGTGGAATGAGGAGAGAAATGGAATTCGAGGGCTTCCAGTTGCCTCGTTATGAGCCCATGTCCCAAACATAATCCCTCAGGAAAGGCAAGGTGGAAGGTTCCAGGAAGATGGGGTTGTAGGAGGTCAAGGAGATGGTTCAACAAGAAAGGGGGCAGACAAGAAAGTGGATCAAGGAAGCTCCGTGGAAAAAGGCGTGGGGAATTGGCAGGACATGGAAATGCATAGGTGGGTGAGACTTGGGAGGAAGACGCAAGAAGGAACGGCTCGAACATTTTTCTGGAGAGATGGGAGGTCCATGGGGCGTGCATGGGTAGCATACGTGGGTTATGCATGGGTAGCATGCAGCGGGGGTTTATATGTAGCATGCGTGGTGCACGCATGGGGTATGCATGGGGAGAACACATGGGTTATGTATGGGGAGGATGCATGGCGTGTGCATGGGGTATGCATGGGGGTATGCGTGGGGGTATGCGTGGGAAGCATGCATGATGTATGCATGGGGAGCAGCATGCATAGGGTATGCATGAGCAGCACTCCTCGCACTCACTGGGATGATGCCGAGGCATGGGCCGCCCATCTCGACCCAGAACCCAGACTCAGTACACCATCAGCATGCAAGTTCTCAAAGCATGCATGGGGGCAGCATGCATCAAGCACAGCTCTCCTGGCACTCACTGGGATGATGCCGAGGCATGGGCCGCCCATCTCGCCCCAGAACCCTGCGACCTGGTCGTACCTGCAGCAGCATCATTCCCACACCCAGGAGAATTAGAAATCAAAGCAGACTTATGTCACTTTCCTTGGAAGATGTAAAGCAAAACGGCAGGAAGGCGTAACACAGACATGCAGAGGCAAGCAATTGGGAAAACAGATGCTTCATAATACGTTAAAGTGGAGAGCGAAAAAAAGGAGAGGAAAGGGGGGGAAGAGGAGTGGGGGGAGGGGGAATGGGAGGGGGGGAGGGGGAGGGGAGAAAAGGCAAGATTTAAAAGCATGCAAGAAACTAATTGATTTTCTGAATTCCTGCACTCACCAGTAATTGCCCGGGTGAATGTTCCCTGCTCGTTGCTCCACCACAGAAACATAGTCATCCCGAATTGGCTCCCCATTCACAATCACTCTCCGCGCGTACGTCGCTCGCTCCTCCCCCCCACTCCCCCCTCCCCCCCCCCATGCCACCCCCCTCCCTCGGCCCTCGGGGGGAAGGACTCGGCATGCCTCCACTGGAAGACATGTCTCCAGATTCAAAGCTGCTCTGTCGCTGATAGATCATCCTTCTTGACCCGCTCACCCCTCCCCCTCTCCCTCCGCCTCCCCCTCTTCCGCCTCCCCTTCCGCCCCCATACCCCTCTGCTCCGCTCACAGGGGAGCTAAGATCCGATTCTGATTCTGGCCGCATGTGGTGGTAGAAAACTGCCGGCCGCGTGCCGCCCGGCCGACTCCTGGCGAATCACAACAGTGCTCTCCGAATCCGCGTTGGACGGCGTGCGCCCGTGCTGACCTGGATTGTGCATCTGCTGACCGCCAAACCCCCCACCGGGACGCTGCATGCGAGGAGAAAGCGGGGGCGCTCCCCCTCCGCCTCCCCCTCCCCCCATCCCTCCCCCCATGCCTCTCCCAAACCCTCCCCCGCTAGGCAACCCTTGCAGCAGCCTAGGAGACCTGGGAGGCTGCTGCTGCTGCTGCTGCTGCTGCTGCATATAATCATTCTGCTGATACTCACTCCCGCTATCCGCCACGTCAGGGTTATCTGAAAACCCCTCCCCGCCGCTAACCCCGCCGGCAGCAGCAGCAGCGGCAGCAGTGCGTGGGTCTGCTGGGTTGACTCGGAAGCGTGAGACGCGCATGCACTTGCCGCAGCGAAGCTTCTGAATGCCCTTCTTGGCCGGGGGGGAGTGCTGCTGGGACTTCTAGAAGCTGGGAGCAGCGCTGACACTGGTGGGGGTGAGGTGAAGGGGCGAACAGGGGAGGATGGGAGAGAGGGGAGAGGAGAAGGGAAAAAGAGGGATGGAGAGGGGAGAGGAGAGGGAGGGGTTGGGAGAGAGGGAGGAGAGAGGGAGTGAGACGCGCATGCACTTGCTGCAGCGCAGCTTCTGAATGCCCTTCTTGGCCGGCGGGAACGCTGCTGGGAATTCCAATGGCTGAGAGCAACGCTGACACTGGTGGGGGGGAGGTGAAGGGGCGAAGACGGGAGGAGAGGAGAGAAGGGAGAGGAGGACGGGAGAACAGGAGAAGCGAAGGAGAGAGGTGGAGGGGAAAGGGGGAGGAGGGGTGGGGATTGGGGAGGGAAAGAGGGATTGGGGGAAAGGGAGTGAGACGCTCTGAATGCCCTGCTAGGACCAAAGAAGTGAGACGGAAAGAGGGATTGTGAGGGGCTTTTAGAACCTAAGAGCAGAGTGGGCGCTGGTGGCTGGGTGGGTGTGGCTGGGAGGGGGGAGAGGGATGGGCTGAATTGGCAGGTTCGGCATTTGTATGAGCAACTCGCGGCGCAAGGGCGAGCAAGAAACCAATTGTTCGTTCTGGAGTCTTAACGAAAGCGACGCGAAACGTTGCGTGCCTGTAACCAATGAGGCCGTGACTGTAACCAATGAGGCCGCGACTGTAACCAATGAGGCCGTGACTGATGAGGTTGCGCGAAGTGAAAGACCCAACCTCGCGAAACTCGCAAAGGTCTGCAACCAACTAGGGTTCTTTCCGTCTGAGAATCTTTAGCTTGCTTCGGAAAGCAGCTTTGTTCGCAACTGAGTTCGTTGTGGCATCCCGCGAGTATTTGTTTCGCAACTACTTTTTTGCCGCATAGAACTTTGTTTGTTCTAACAGGCTTTTCTTAATTTCGCAACAGACTGCCCGCTAACTTTTTTCTTCGTCGTTCGTGCGAAAGCACTCTCTTGCCACGTTTTGGGCTCCGAACTAACCAGGGATATCAAACTTGCAGAAAAAAACAGAAAAAAAGAAAAAAAAAAACTCAATATCCGTTTCCCAACTAGTATAGTCAAATCGAGATAGAAGATCGTCAAGCGTGGTTTGTGCGAGTGCGCGAGTGCGCGAGGGGGAAAGAGAAAGAACGAGAAGCAGGCGATCAGAAAGATAACTATAAAAAAGCGGAAAGAAGACAGGCAGGGGAATAGGAGGCAACAGTAGAAATGACTATAGAGAGGAAATGAGAGGATATGAGAGGGTAAAAGCAAGAGCTCGTACCTGGACAACTTGCGGGTGAGGGTTGCCCGGAGGAAAGAGACGAGGGAGAGAAGATTTTATATGCAGTGACAAGGGAAGAGTAAGTGCGCGAGAGCTCTTGCCTGCACAACTTGCGGGCTGCCCGGAGGGGGAAGCATGGGGAGTTCCGACGGGTCCACCTCCGCCTTCCCCGCCTTCCCCTGCGGCGCCATCCCCCCCGCGTCCCCCGCGCCCTCTAAGCGCGGATTAACCGACCGGCTGCGCGGATACGCTCCCCCGCCGACCCCCCCTTCCGACGCGTCCGACGTATAGTAGTGCTCTTCCCCCATACTCACGCGCCCTCCTCCCATTCCCCTTCCGCCAGGCGCATGCGGGGGCATTCCGCCGCCCATTCCCCCCATGGCCATTCCCCCGCCCGCCATGCGCCCGCCTGCGCCCATCATCCCCATGCCGGTGGATCGCGACCGTTGCATGTTCTGGTGGTAACCGTCTTCGCCGTACATCCCGTCGCTTTCGTCGGTGTACTCTCCGCCGCCCTCCATGTACCCGCCTTGCGAAAACCCGCTCCCCGCGCGTTGGCGGTACGGACTGCCCGGACCCGCCCCCATTCCCCCCATTCCGCCCATTCCGCCGCGCCCTCCGCCCGCCACCATCTGCTGCGCCTGGGTCCTCCGCGGGGTGATCATCCCCCCAACGCCCATTCCCCCCGTCGCGTGCGGGTTCTGTCTTAACGGCGACCGGTGCCGGCCGTCAGTGGCAGTCAACGACCGTCCGATCTCCGGCTCTCCGCCGCCAAACTGCCCGCCTCCGCCAGCGCCTCTCCCCGCACCAGGTCCGCGCGGAGTGGGCGCTTTATTTCCGACCGTCATGCTCCGCCCGAATTGATCCGCCAAGGGGTCTTCCACCCCCGCGCCCACCCCCCTGCGCATTCCGCCGTCCGGTCCGCCGACGGAAGACGAGTGGGGAAGCTTCCCCCCGCCCGCCCCTCCCCGCGCCCATGCCTGGCCCTCCTGCATGCGCCCCCCCCGCGCCTGCTGCTCTAACTCCGCGCGGAGGGGTTTTGTTGTTCGGCGCGGGGGCGACCATAGACATAGTGCGCTTATAACGGGGCTCTGCCGGTTGTTCTTCTTGCTGTGGAGACGGCTGGTAGATCATCGAGTTAATCCGCGTGAATTGCGCCTGAGGCGCGCCGCCGCCGCCGCCAGCTACGCGGCGTCCGCGGCCAGGGTTGCGCGCGGGGGGACCGTCCCCCCCTCCTCCCCCTCCGCCGGGGGCCATTCGGCGGGGCTGCGCGTAGGGGACATGGGCCCGCCTTGCTCCTCTCCGCCCGACAGTGGTTGAACGTAACCACGTTGCCGACTGGTGGCCATCTGGTTACCACAACCCAACAAATATCTGTTCTTTTTAACAGAACGTTGAATAAATTGAGTGTATTTTTCAGGCAGAGCGTTGATACTGTCGTTAGTGGGAAGCTGCCTCTTGAAATAATTATCGGAACGGATACTAGACGGTGGGAAAGAGAGGACGTAAGCTACTGGAATGACTCAAGACACTTGCCAACCCGTGGCTGACTAGAGTGAGACGACTCAAAACGGTCCTGCTAGGAGCCGTAACTGTGAGAACTAGGAAAGCTTAGGAGGGCCGAAAGCGCCATTGCGCGGTACGCTTCTATTGTAATGAAAGAGGGAACAGAAATGGAAGGCCGATCGTAAAGCGGGCAATAAGTGACCCCGCTAACAGTTCTGCAACGAAGCACGACAAGATCGTCAAGTGCTTGACAGCTAGTTGTTCGATATTCTTAGGGACCGGTTTGGAGTGAAGCGTTTGCGGATTGACTGCTATCAGCCAGTTTTAGACGCACGTGAACTGTAAGTGTAGCTTCATAAATACAGCTCGACAAGATCGTCAGGCGACGCGACTCCAGCTAGTCTCTTATGTACTGGCACAGCAAATTAGGTCTACGGTTTCGCGAGAAAGTTAGCAAATTGCTCACTGTCTACGCACAGGCGAACACTAAGGAGGAGCCAAGGAAGGAAACTACAGCGGAGAGTGACCTAACAAATGTGCTGAAATCGCATTGGTTTAGTAACCTAGTTGTTAGGTTAGGAGACTCCGTCCCGTTTTTAATGAACTGAACTCCAGTCCAGTGGCACAACGCCTCGAGTTGCCGCAACTATTGGCGTGGCATCCAGCTCATACCCTGCTGGCTTCCGCAACGAGACAACACTCTCCACCTACTTTCACTGGACCTGCCCAAAGGAGCAGAACCTATCAGCCTGCCAGTGATTGGGTCCGTGCGTGTATGCGTGCTGCTCGAACTCCTCTCTGCTCTCCTCCTCTTCTAATTTTCTCATTTTGTGGAATGACAGTGGTTGTTTGTGATGTGGTGGAGAAAACAGAGGCAGGAGGGGGTGCTTTCAAGGCAAGGTGAGAGAGAGAGAGAGAGTGTGCAGAAAGAGAGGTTTTCCAGGTAAGATGCTTACATTTGTCGGTTCTGTGCCCGTCATTCTCCTCGGCGTGTTATGGCGGCTTCCGTTCCGTACCACCCACCATCCCACTGGTGGTGATGCTTAGTTTTCCCACCCGAATGTTTTCTTTTGGTTCTCTCGTCCATTTTCCGTAAATCGGAAAGTTCAAAGTGTACAGACTCCATATTTCACATACGGCAGGGAGGGGTTCCCAATATCTAAAATGTGTTCCTAGGAATTGAAAACAGTACTTTCGAGAATGTTCAATTTGGAACCCTCCATCCTCGTCAACCATAATTGTCGTCTCCCGTTCCTCCATCCTCCCACACTTTGGCCACACTGATCTGCACCAACCATCAGCTTCGCTTCGCATTCCCCTCAATTCCCCCAAACCGCGCTGGTTGAGGGGCCAAACCTCTCTCGGGAAAAGATCATGCAGGGGCCGAACAGTGCCAGAGGGGTGATCGATCAAGGGCCAAGAGGCCCGAAAACTACCAAACCGCTGCACAAAAAGATATTAACAAAGAGGTCTCGTTTGTTGCACGTAATTCTGCTACTAGTGGCATGCACTGGCTAGCGTTTTCGCTCGCGTGTCGTTTAGCGAGCCGACTCTGCTGGGAACTCTTAGGGCAGCAAAAAAACTAAAACCCACAGGGAATCTGGATACATTTTCGGGATGGATCAACCCTAAAAAAGGGGACCTTCCTGGTATTTAGGGTTGATGCCTCCCGAGGCGCATCCGTTTCCGAATGGGTAATTTTTTTTACTGTGCGTTTTCGATCGCGTTGGTGATATGCATCACCCATAATAAAATATGTTGTTACGTACTCACGATTTGACACGCCGAATTTTAATTCCAGAACAAGGCGACGCGCGCGCTGTAGTTGACGGCGGTCAAACCCCTTATTGAAGAAGTTGTACACGCAATTCGGTTTCCTCAGCAATTCTCTTTAACTCACGGCTCGGCTTGTTCGCCCAGCCGTGCGGGCAGCTCCGGGTCGAAATCCTACGGTCGAGATTTTTCGGCCCTACTTCGATCACCTCTCTGGCACTGCTCGGCCCTAATATGATCATTTCCCACCTCTCTCTTTGGTACCGACCGACGTGGAGAACCTCGACGCGCGCGCGTTGCAATGTATGCGCTGCGCGCATCATTCCGCTCCAGCGCCTGCTAGCTTGACATCCACGACGTGCGCGGAATGGGTTCACAGCGCGGGGGAGTAGCCAACCACTGCTGCTGCTCTCAGAGAAAGGACAGCCACAATTGGTTCTGACAAGTGATGTTTCGGGAAAGCACTATGCTCCTTTCACAGGGCGCCACGTCGTACTGAGATCAGGAGCAGGACGGTTGAGGCTGCATCACGTATCTCGTTATGGGGTCAAGTTTGTGCTAATGTGGGTTCACATATTTTATTCTATGGGTGAACTGTCAACTACATTCGTCAACTAGACATATTTATAGATATATCACGGATCAATGTCTTCCATATTTGTTACAAAACGCAGCCTAGTGAAATATTTAGCAAAATATGCCAACCTACACCAATTCTACAAAACTGATGCTGAGAGTGATCCATCCATGCGAGAGTGATACCAGCCGTAAGGGTTGCTTCCTTCCAACTCATCACCAAGTCTCCCCCTCCAGCACGAAGTGTGCTTGGTTCCCTGATACCGTATACAAGAGCCCTTCCAAGCAACCTGCTGACAAGTTTGCATCCCTGCATCACTGCACTCCTGCCATCCGCGCCCAATCCACAAACTGACTGCTGCCATAGATGTTATTAGCAAACCTCACAGCCACTGTAAACGAGCCTGATAGCCATGGCAGGCTCCGAGCCACCGTCGAGCCATCAACCAGCCTCTCCAAACCTGTGACGACCTGGTACCTGGGGTTGGAGGAAACTGCCATGAAGGCTCCCCAGAGGAGGGCTGTTTTGAAGAGCGGTGGTGGTTTGACGTGGCTGTCCTTTGTATGAGCAGCCTCATCGCCCTTCTGACGCACACTTCTGAATCAAGGGGAGGAAAGAAGGGAAATACTGGCAAAATTATGCTGGAGGTTGAATAGAGTATGCAAGTTTACATTGAATGTTCAAGTAGGATGCATGGGATAAACTTTGGAGCAATGGAGGATCATTCTTTTAACACGAGCATATGAGGAGCTTCTAACACGAGCATTGTCAACACCTCCGAGTGAACAGTGCCTCGTGTGGTTGTAACAGGCATTTGCTACCTCTTAAAAACGGAACCACAGCGTACCTCTTCAGGGTCATCACGCCGTTAGCGATCCCCTGACCCAGAAGGCCCGATGCGAAGCCAAACCCTCCATACTCAACGCCCTGCCATTGTGAACAGAGGGAGGAAGCAGGGAAAGGAGGGAGAGGAGGGGACGGAGGTGGATGAGGAGAGGACAATTTTTGGAAGGCAAGCTGAGGACGATTGGAGGTGTTGGGGGAAGAAGAAACTACGGCTGTAAGTTTGATGGCCATGTAGCAAAGTTTAGACCTTTTAAGTTACCAAACGTGTCCCTGGCAGGGCAGCGAGGGAATTGATGGACGAGGGAGAGAATGAAGGGCTTTGGGAGAGAAAGTTTTGGGTTGGGATACGCGGGCAGGTTTATCACCTTGACGAAGAGGGTGACAGTTCGTTGGGCAGCCGAGAACTTTTGACCCGGAAGGGATGCCTCAAACACACTGTTATTGAGAAGAGGGAGGGGAGGGCAACAACGGGACATAAGAAGGGAAGGAAAGTAAGAATCAGCCATACATGACAAAATGTACACAGTGGATCAAAGCTGTAATGGAATAGGGTTTCATTAACCTTAACGGTTCACTGTTCTGACCTGCTAGGGAGCGCCGAGAGCGCAGCAGAAACCCCACGTGGCAAGATGCGTGGCAACCGTCCACCGGCTGCTGACGTGGCGAATCTCGCGGCTGGCGCGAGCGAGCCCACGACGGCGCCGCCCATAATGATTCGACGAGCATATCCGAGAGGTAGAGGTCGAACTCCTTCCAGAAATCGTCGCCTCGCTTCTGCACCTCCGCGAACGTCGCGCACGCGCAGTCGATGGCGATCTGACAAAAACAAAACATTCGTGAAAATGTCAGTAGGATGTGGTAAGTCGAGTGAAACAGCGAAGGACGAACGCGAGTTCGCAATTGACCTCCAACAGGCACCTCCGTTAACCATGCAACTTGCGTACCCGACTCGATCGAGTTACTCACCTCCGTAAAAACTTTGAACAGGAACGAAGGGTCCATCAAGAGCCGGTTACGAAGTGCCGCGCAGTTGCTTATAGCGGGGCCCAGAGACGAGTTCTGCAGGTCCATGAACCTCTGTAGAATCACTTCCGATATACCGTGCTCCCGTGCGTGTAGCAGCATATCTTCTGGAAGCGTTAAGCCCTTCCGCAGCAGAACCGCCTCGACGCGCGGCCATCCCAATAGCGCGTCGAAATCTCCGCCCCTTCCGCTCTCATCTCCGCCAGCGTCTCCCCCGCCTCCTCCGCCCCCTCCGCTTCCGCCCGACCGCCCGTCCCCGTTGTTTCCGCCGTCTTCGCCGTCTCCGCCCCTGAACGATCCGCCGTCTCCCCCTCCTCGGCCCGTGTCCGTCATCGCTTCTGGCTCTTCCGCGACGGGCGGCGGCGGCGCAAGGATGGCGGCTTGCGCGCGGAGAGTGGTTCCGCGGTGGCCCCCGTCCTTCCGCCAGCTTTTGCCGGAGTTACCGGCGGGATTCGCGCCGGAACTGACGGCGATGTCGCGATCCAGATTTGAGAAGACGACGAAGTTGACGGCGGCCGGTGAGGCTGTGACGGTTAGCCGACTGGAGAAGCTAGCGGAGAACGAGCAAACGTCAACTCCGGGCATCCGGGGGGTGCTACCGAGCGCGGAAACACATACGGAACCTTGAGCCGCTGGAGGCGCGGAACGACAGGCGACGAAGGGCGCGGGGAGTGCTGCGGAGTGTGTTCCGCGCATGTACGCGACCGAGGAAACGTTGACCCGGACAGCCATGGCTATAACGGGGATAATTTCGATGAACGGGTGTCGTAAGAAAACTAAATTTCTCACAAGTGGTTAGAGATAATATACGTTGCTGCCCTTCTTGACTGATGCCTCAACGCTTCGGCTTAGGCAGAATGCGAGCTTACGAGGAATTAAATATGGCCACGAGGTGAAGTACGGAGGCAGTTATCTAAGGTGTTTCACTCTGGTGCTCCAAGCGCTGCGACGTTCAGTGCAGTCGCAGCGAACGTGGATTCACTGCCGGATCGACGTGTGACGTGTAACTTGCAACCCCTTCCGCGATTCGCTTCCGGAATCCTGGGAAGATTCGATCCACGTTTTGACTACGTCCCGTTTCCGTTTCGCAAGGCCGTCCGCTCCGTTTCTGTCGAGGTAAGACCTCCGCGGTACGCGACGCAAGCTCCTTCCAGCTACAAATGTTCACACTTCACGTCGGGTACGTTCGTCGACAGCTGTAGCAAAGGAGGAGTAACTTAAATTAGATTGGTCGAAGGCTACCAAACGACGCGAAAGCAGCTCGATTGAAGCGACGAAGAGAGCCTTGCGGAACGTGCGTGCACTATCTAGGTTGAGAGTTTGAAAAAGGACAGGATGGTCTGGCCTTATGAAATCGTGGGAGCAATTTTGCGTTGTGATCAGGTGAAGCCGAAGCATTTACCATCAACACGACATGTGATCAGAAACGGACCAGGAGCGGAAAGAGCAAATGAAAGACGAGCAGCGATGAACGAGAGGGACGAGGATGACCGACTGACCAGCCATCGGCTGACATGCCGTTTCTTGTGGCGGTGGCTGGTGCTGCTGCCATGTGGGAATTTGCGAACAAATCTGAACCGGTAGTGCGCCAGGCGCCGATAATTCGCCGACCTGAAGGGAACCAACCTGGGTTGCAGAACCACCAATCGCGTCGTAAGCGAAATGTTTTGGCGAATTAACGCCGCACGATGGCCAAGCGAAAGTGTCGATCTGGAAACTGGAGGCTGTGATACACAATTTCAGCGCGACGCGAATTGCGGCCCGATGGAGGGATGTGGTGTGATGGGGTAAGGTTATGCTGACTCATTTCGCCGCTGCGCGGCTGGAAACGGGGACCACGTGCAAGGTGATCAAGGGAGCAGTGAGCCCAGTTCCCAGCTTTGCTGGAGCTGGCTCGAGTGTTGACGTGGCATCGCGAGGTCGACTCGAAGACTTATGTGGATGACAATTCGATATAGGAATCGCGGTAAATATATTAGGTAGCACACCAGAATTTGAACACGACAGAAATGTTAAAACAGGTTTGCCGAGTTACCCACATCCACATCCAGAGTTTTACATATGATGCAGGATGTTCACCATGTCTTGCACAAATGGGCACATGGACGCTGTTGGGATGGAAAATCAGTCAGTACCTTTCTGCAACCATAAGTTGCTGATGTGCTGTCCATCTACCTTTGCAGAGACCCAATTCCATCCATGCCACTCATTGCTGTACTGATCATTAGCTACCAGCACAGTGACAAGTGGGTGAGCATACCCCACACAAGCCTCCCACGAACTAACTCATCGTGCAAACACTCAGGCACCTCAGAAACTACCACATTTAACCTATACCCAGAATTCTCACAGAAGCTTTTTACCACTCCTGCCAAGCACTTCAGCGTGTCTGTACTCTTGACCACAAGGCCTTTTGTTCCGTACCATGCCCTTAAGTGGACTCCTAGGCACGGTCTTGGCACGTCGTTGTCCCAGAGACCCGACTTTCGCCATCATGGTGTGCCATCTCATCTCCTCCACATCTCTCCCCACCCCACTCCCCCCCCCTTCCCCCCTTCTCAACCCTCTCCCACCACGCTTTCACTGATGCTCCATCATGCTTCCTTCCTACCATCTTAGCACCCCCCTCCCCTTGCGTCACTTGTGTTTCCCCACGGGACCGCTGCTGAGGGAGCCTGCCGAGCGTCTCCACCTCCTCACACGCCAGCACTGGTCTCCCTGACCCCCATCTCCTTCCCAGCTCGCCCCCCCCTCTACAAACACACGCACCACCCTCACTTGTGTTTCCCCACAGGACCGCTGCTGAGGGAGCCTGCCAGCATCGTCTCCACCCCCTCACACACCAGCACTGACCCCTATCTCCTCTCCTCCCCACCATCCCCCCTCCCACCCCTTAGCACAAGCCTCTCCCTTGTGCTTCCACACGGGTCTGTGCTGAATGAATCTGCCAGCATCGTCTCCACCTCTTCACACGCCAGGACTGGTCACCCTGACCCCCATCTCCTTCCCAAAACACCATCCCACCGCTCCTGCTTTCCCCCTCAATACAGATCACCACCCTCACTTGTGCTTCCCCACGGGACCGCTGCTGAAGGAATCTGCAAGCATCGTCTCCACCTCTTCACACGCCAGCACCCGCACGTCCAGTGACCGCTGGTTGCGCAGAATGTTGCTGCAGAGGGAGGGAATGAGAAGGTGAAGGTAAGGAGTGAGTTGGAGAGGGAGAGGAAGAGCGTTGGGCGAGAGCGGAAGAAAGCAAAAGTTGGATGGAACCAACCCACTTCCTCACATGCCAGCACTTGTACGCCCAAGGGAAGGCGCAGCACAAGAGCAGAGAGCAGAGCAGAGAGCAGAGCAGAGCAGAGCAGAGCAGAGAGCAGAGCAGAGCAGAGAGCAGAGCAGAGCAGAGCAGAGAGCAGAGCAGAGCAGAGCAGAGCAGAGCAGAGAGCAGAGCAGAGAGCAGAGCAGAGCAGAGCAGAGCAGAGCAGGGCATAGCAAGAGCAATTGAGACAAGCCTCCCTCCCTCACCCATGTCAAACGATGAATTCGCGGTGTTTGTCGAGTGAGCCTGAGAGCGTCTTGGCCTACACGTGCCATTGCCTGGCACCAGGGACCCATATCAATGACCAGAAAGTGACAGCCCAGATTCTGACATGACAACCTACCCGTGTCGGATGATGAACTTGCCGTATTTGTCCAGCAGGCCTGAGAGGGTCTTGGCCTTGACATGCCATGCATGCCCCCCCCCCTCCCCCCTTTCCCCCATCACTCACCCGTGTCGGATGATGAACTCGCGGTATTTGTCCAGCAGGCCTTGAGGGTCTTGGCCTTGACGTGCCATGTGATGCCAGTTGCCAGAAGAGGATCAACCACTCACACACCACACCGCTACTGCTAGAGAGGAAACCCTGACCTGACCCTGACAACCCCTCCCTCACCCGTGTCGGATGATGAACTCGCGGTATTTGTCCAGCAGGCCCGAGAGGGTCTTGGCCTTGACGTGCGCGCGCAGCTCGCGATTGGTGATGGTCCATGCCATGTGGCGCTGCCTCATTTGCTCCAGGATGATGTTGAACGTCTTGAGACTGAAGGAGAGGGGGGGGTGGAGATGGGTGCAGAGGGATAAGGCAGGGCAAGGCATGGTTGGTGTTGGTCCATGCCATGTGGCGCTGCCTCATTTGCTCGAGAATGATGTTGAACGTCTTGAGGCTGGAAGGGAGGGAGAGAGCCGTGGAGATGGGAGGAAGGAACGGGGGTTGAGGGCATTGCAAGTCGTAATACCCCATATGCATGCCAAACGGAAGGTACAGTTGAGAAGTGCACTAGAACAGCATAGACAGACAAGGTCAAGAGAGCAAGTCTTGAACACGTCTAGGGGCTGATGTGATCAGAACGACGTGACGCACGCAACTCTTGAACCAAGCACTCACCGCTTGACGAGGGAGGCGGAGTCGAGGCGGTCATCCGAGGAGAACACCACGTCGAACTGTGATGCAGGAAGGGGGGCGGGGAGGGGAGGGGAGGGGAGAGGGGAGGAAAAGCGGGAGAGGGTTGAGGGGGAAACAGGGAGCTGCGAAGGGCGGATAAGGAGGCGGAGTCGAGGCGGTCATCCGAGGAGAAGACCACGTCGAACTGCGATGCAGGGAGGGGGGCGGGGAGGCGAGGGGAGGCGAGGGGAGGCGAGGGGAGGGTAGGGGAGGGGAGGGGAGGGGAGGGGAGGGGAGGGGAGGGGAGGGGAGGGGAGGGGAGGGGAGGGGAGGGGAGGCGAGGGGAGGGGAGGGTAGCGGAGGCGAGGGGAGGGGAGGGGAGGGGAGGGGAGGGGAGGGGAGGGGAGGGGAGGGGAGGGGAGGGGAGGGGAGGGGAGGGGAGGGGAGGAGAGGAGAGGGGAGGGGAGGCGAGGGGAGGGTAGGGGAGGGGAGGGGAGGGGAGGGGAGGGGAGGCGAGGGGAGGGGAGGGGAGGGGAGGGGAGGGTAGGGGAGGGGAGGAGAGGGGAGGGGAGGCGAGGGGAGGGGAGGGGAGGGGAGGGGAGGCGAGGGGAGGGGAGGGGAGGGGAGGGGAGGCGAGGGGAGGGGAGGGGAGGGGAGGGGAGGGGAGGGTAGGGGAGGGGAGGGGAGGGTAGGGGAGGGTAGGGGAGGGTAGGGTAGGGAGGGGAGGGGAGGGAGGGGAGGCGAGGGGAGGGGAGGGGAGGGAGGGGAGGGAGGGTAGGGGAGGGGAGGAGAGGGGAGGGGAGGCGAGGGAGGGGAGGGGAGGGGAGGGGAGGGGAGGCGAGGGGAGGGGAGGGGAGGGGAGGGGAGGGGAGGGGAGGCGAGGGGAGGGGAGGGGAGGGGAGGGGAGGGGAGGCGAGGGGAGGGGAGGTAAGGAAATGGGGAAGGGGAGGGAGGGGAGGGGAGGGGAGGGTAGGGGAGGGGAGGGAGGGTAGGGGAGGGTAGGGGAGGGGAGGGGAGGGGAGGGGAGGGAGGAGAGGAGAGGGGAGGGGAGGAGAGGGGAGGGGAGGTAAGGGAATGGGGAAGGGGAGGGGAGGGGAGGGGAGGAGAGGGGAGGGGACGTAAGGGAATGGGGAAGGGGAGGGGAGGGGAGGGGAGGGGAGGAGAGGGGAGGGAGGTAAGGAAATGGGGAAGGGGAGGGGAGGGAGGGGAGGAGAGGGGAGGGGAGGTAAGGGAATGGGGAAGGGGAGGGGAGGGGAGGGGAGGAGAGGGGAGGGGACGTAAGGGAATGGGGAAGGGGAGGGGAGGGGAGGGGAGGGGAGGAGAGGGGAGGGGAGGTAAGGAAATGGGGAAGGGGAGGGGAGGGGAGGGGAGGAGAGGGGAGGGGAGGTAAGGAAATGGGGAAGGGGAGGGGAGGGGAGGGGAGGAGAGGGGAGGGGAGGTAAGGGAATGGGGAAGGGGAGGGGAGGGGAGGGGAGGAGAGGGGAGGGGAGGTAAGGGAATGGGGAAGGGGAGGGGAGGGGAGGGGAGGAGAGGGGAGGGGACGTAAGGGAATGGGGAAGGGGAGGGGAGGGGAGGGGAGGAGAGGGGGAGGGAGGTAAGGAAATGGGGACGGGGAGGGGAGGGGAGGGGAGGGGATGGGGAAGGGGAGGGGAGGGGATGGGGAAGGGGAGGTAGGGCAGGAGCGGGGTCAGATGGGAAACGGAGCAGTGAAGGGAAGAGTAAGAAGAGTCGAGGCACACCACACCGAGCTGAACAGACAAGGAGAGAGCAGAGGAAGGGGGGGACGGGGACTGAGGGATGGGAAGCAAGGGTTATAGGAGGGAGAGAATGAGAAGGGGTAGGTGGTAACACGGGGAGCAGTGAAGGGGACGGGAAAGTACCATGCTGAAGTGGGACGGGGGGCGAGCGAGCGAGGGGCAGAGAAAGGAGAGGGGGCAGAGGGAGCAGGTGAGCAACAAAGAGTGGAGAGGAGAGAGCAACGGAGAGTAGGGGGTCATCTCACAAGACAGGTCCAAAATGGGGTGACCCTACTCTGATTGGTGGGTACCTTGGCGAGTGTGTGCATGATAAATTTGTCCCTGTGATTGTCCACCATCGCTCCATATGTGCCGATCCATGCCGTACCAAGCAGCCGCCCAGCATCAGACCTGGAAGATCGGCAGAAGAGGCAAGGCAGCAGGGGCAAAGAGAAGGGTATGTGTGCATGTGTGTGTGCGCAGATGCACAGGCACTCACACATCAATCTTAGTGAAGTGAGCACATCAACCTACTTATGAAGAGCCCCGCCAGGCTGTCATGTCTCCGCATCACGCGCCCCACGCATCACGCATCCCATGCTGGCATTCCATAAGTACCCCTCACATCCCACATGTACCCATCACATTCTACATGTACCCATCACATTCCACATGTACCCATCACATCCCACATGTACCCATCACATTCCACATGTACCCATCACATTCCACATGTACCCATCACATTCCGCAAGTACCCATCACATTCCACATGTACCCATCACATTCCGCATGTACCCATCACATTCCACATGTACCCATCACATTCCACATGTACCCATCACATTCCGCATGTACCCATCACATTCCACATGTACCCATCACATCCCACATGTACCCATCACATCCCACATGTACCCATCACATTCCACATGTACCCATCACATCCCACATGTACCCATCACATTCCACATCACATCAGAAGCATTTGAGTCGACTCAAAAGTCATTCCACATGTATCCCTCACATTCTCAAAGTTATTTCGAGCGGTTCACCCCGAGATGGATATCCATCGGAAGCTTATGCTGACTGATATTGAACAACAACATTCCACTCACGCATCAATCTTACTGAGCACATAGGCGAGGCTGTTCATCACAAAAATCTCAACTAGCGTCTCGTCTCGACTCGTGCCAATTTCCTGCACTCTCGCCGGCAGGCGTACACGTCCCACCCACACACAACCACACACTCACGCATCAATCTTAGTGAGCACGTATGCGAGGTTGTTCATCATAAAGAGCTCTGCCAGTGACTTGCCTCGACTCATACTCATGTCTAGCACTCGCACACACACATACACACGAACACTCGACTCACACACACACACTCTCACACACCCACACACTCACGCATCAATCTTAGTGAGCACGTATGCGAGGTTGTTCATCATAAAGAGCTCGGCCAGCGTTTCGTCTCGTAGCATCGCCGCCCGCTGCCCGAGGTTCGTCTTTAGTGCGTCCACGATGCGGGCGGCGGCGAATGCCAGCCGGCCCTGCACACGTGGCGTCACGATACTGGCTGCTGAGTCGCTGGCGTTGCTGACCATATCCTCAAACACACACTCGAGTATTTGGAAGTAGGGCAGCTCGCTGCGTGTGCACATGAGGGTGCGGGAGGGTCGGGGAGGGGGGAGAGGACAGGGAATGGAGTATGAAAGGAGAACCGGACTGTGCAGAGCTCCTGGCGCTGCTAACCATACTCGAGTGCTAAAACACGCAGTCGAGTATTTGGAAGTAGGGCAGCAACCACATACTAACACAACCTCCACCACCCCATCCCCCTCCCCTTGACATCCCCTCCCATCCCCACCTGTTGCAGAGCAGCAGAAGGTAGTTGACCACGTAGCTCGTGATTGGGTGGATGTCCCCTGTGGAGTGGGCGGCAGCAGCTGACGTGGACGTCATCGACGCCACCTCACTTGCTGAGTCATCGCCCTTGTGCATCATCCTGGCAGGTGGGGAGGGAATGGCGAGGAAGGAGGGACAGAGGGTGAGAGGGGGATGTTGGAGGAAGAAAATGGAGGAGGGAAGGGCGAGCGACTTACTGAGTCGTCCCCGTGTCCATCATTCTGTCAGGGTGGAAGGTGGGGGCAGGGCGAGGGAGGAGGAAGTGAGGGGAGGGTGGGGGGTGTCGCAGTGAGTGTCAATCATTCAAGTCATTGACTCCACCTCCACCTCCTGGCAGGCAGGTTAAGGGAGGGGAAGATATATATATATATATATATATATATATATATTTTGACTGCCCTCTCTGCCCTCACCTCACATACTCCCCACTCACGTCACACTCGCAGGTGGACGAGCTATTCAAGGGGCCTGAAGGGGAGATGATGCGGCGGGCGGGAGTGCCAGCACCTTCTGAAAACCCTTGGCTAAGCGGCCAGAGCAACGTTTGACACGTTTGAAGAGGCATGGGGACATGGGGACACACACATATATATATATATATATATATATATATATTTTGACTGGGCAACTTTCTACTAGTCCTCCCTTCTTCTCTTGTTGGATCCAACAAGGAATTTAGAAGAGACAGGGGTTCTAGAACCAGCCAGTACAAAAATAAATTAAAAATATAAAGAGTAAAATGTTAACCCCCTTCGTTTTCCACAAGCACCCCACTCCTCACTCACTTCTTCAGCCGATCCACCCCCCCAACCTCCCCCCTTTCATCCTTCATTCCACGCAAACCAGCCAAACCCAACCCTCCCTCCCCATCATTTCCCCCACCCACCCTCCACTCACTTCTTCAGCCGTCCCAGAAGCCCCCCTCCGCGCAGCTCACTCCGTCCAAACCCTCCTCTCCCACTCTCGCTGGCAGTGGGGCTGGCAAGAGCGGGATACCCCCCTCCTCCTCCCGGCCCGCCCTCCTCTGGCGTCGGCGGTGCCTTCACAGCCTCTTCAAACTTCTCAAACGTCGCCCTCGCTGCTTGCCCAAGGGTCTTGAGAAGGTGCTGGTACTCCCTCCGCATCATCTCGCCCTCAGGTCCTTTAAATAGCTCGTCCACCTGCAAGTTTCAGTGGGGAGATTGTGCAGGCAGAGAGGGGAAAGGGAAGGAATACAGGGGCGGATGGGTAGAGAAAGGGGAAGACAGACAGACACAGAGGGGGATAGAGGGGCACAGATGAGCAAGGGGGGAACACATGTGCCTTCACGGCCTGGCTGCTCATGTTCAAACTTCTCAAACGTCGCTGTGGCTGCTTGCCCAAGGGTCTTGAGAAGGTGCTGGTACTCCCTCCGCATCATCTCGCCCTCAGGCCCCTTGAATAGCTCGTCAACCTGCGAGTGTCAGTGGGAGAGGGGTAAAGGTGGCAGGGGGGAGAGGAAGGAGAAACGAGGGGAAAGGGGGGAAACAGGCGGAACGGGGGCAGACAGGGTGAGAGGAGGGAACACAGGTGCCTTCACCGCCTCTTCAAACGTGTCAAACGTCGCTCTGGCCGCTTAGCCAAGGGTTTTCAGAAGGTGCTGGCACTCCCGCCCGCCGCATCATCTCCCCTTCAGGCCCCTTGAATAGCTCGTCCACCTGCGAGTGTGACGTGAGTGGGGAGTATGTGAGGTGAGGGCAGAGCGGGAAAGATGAAGGAGCACAAGGGCAGATGGAAAGACAGAGGGAAAGAGGGGCAGGAGAGCGATAAGCCCGAGGGTCTTGAGAAGGTGCTGGCACTCCCGCCCGCCGCATCATCTCCCCCTCGGGCCCCCTTGAATAGCTCGTCCACCTGCGAGTGTTGCATTAGCGGGTGACAGGGAGTGCCATAGAGGGGGAGTGATAAGGAAGGAAGGAAGGAAGGAAGGAAGGAAGGAAGGAAGGAAGGAAGGAAGGAAGGAAGGAAGGAAGGAAGGAAGGAAGGAAGGAAGGAAGGAAGGAAGGAAGGAAGGAAGGAAGGAAGGAAGGAAGGAAGGAAGGAAGGAAGGAAGGAAGGAAGGACGGACGGACGGACGGACGGACGGACGGAAGGACGGAAGGAAGGAAGGAAGGAAGGAAGGAAGGAAGGAAGGAAGGAAGGAAGGAAGGAAGGAAGGAAGGAAGGAAGGAAGGAAGGAAGGAAGGAAGGAAGGAAGGAAGGAAGGAAGGAAGGAAGGAAGGAAAGGGGGAAAGATGGGCGCCTTCGCAGTCTCCCCAGGCGTCTCAAACGTCGCCCTGGCTGCTTGTCCTCGGGTCTGTAGCCTTGGGATGGGACCAGAAGGGGCTGTTCTAGGGTCTTCATCTCCCCCCCGGGCCCCTTGAACAACCCCTTACGGTCCGGCGTTGTCTCGTAATCTCGAGGCAAGGAGTTGTTCTACGGGTTTGAGGAGCCGTTCGGACGGGCGTCTTCTTGATCTCGTGCGTGGAAGCAACATCATTGACTAGCGTTGACTTGACTACCATTGACTTGAGTCAGAACAGCACATACCGTGCACTTGAGGTCGAGCGTCGTCTCGTACATATCCAGGAAGGAGAACAGTCGTTCAGGGGTCTTCTTGATCTCGCTCACGGCCTCGCCAAAGCCAGCGAGCAGTGGGGTGGTGGGGGAAGAGGGGCTGTGACCTGGAAAGGAGCACAGCCCCACTGAGGTCAGTATGTGTATGTGCTGCCTCACGTACCGTGCACTTGAGGTCGAGAGTCGTCTCGTACATGTCCAGGAACGAGAACAGCCGTTCAGGGGTCTTCTTGATCTCGCTCACGGCCTCGCCAAAGCCGGCGAGCAGCAGCATGGAGGAGCGCGAGAGGTCCACAAAGCACTGCTCGCCGTAGGGGCCCAGCCCGTCAAACACCTCGTCACACGCCTCCCTCTCCCCCGCCACCAGAATCATCTGGCGTGGGGTTGTGGGGGGGGGGCGGGTACGAGGGAGGGTTGAGGGGGAAGAGGGGGGAAGGTGGGGAAGGGGAGGTCGAGCCCGTCAAACACCTCGTCACACGCCCTCCCTCTCCCCCGCCACCAGAATCATCTGGTAGGGGTGGGGGGTTCGGAGGGAGGTGGGGAGAGTGGGTCGGGGATGGGAGGGGGGAGGGGGAGTCAGAGGGAAGAGAAAGGGTGGTTGATTGAGAATTAGTTCCCCTCGCCGCATGGGCCCAGCCCGTCAAACACCTCGTCATACGCCTCCCTCTCCCCCACCACCAGAATCATCTGGCGTGAGGGGGGGTTGGGGGAGTGGTGTGGAAAGCAGAGGGAAGGGGTTGGGAAGAGGAGGAGGGGGGGAGATCAAAGGGAAGTAAGAATATGCTCGCCGCACGGGTCGAGCCCGTCAAACACCTCGTCACACGCCTCCCTCTCCCCCGCCACCAGAATCATCGGGTGTAAGGGTGGGGGGGAGGGGGGGGGGTGGGGGCGGGGGCAGGAACGAGAGGGGAGAGAAGGGGAAGGGAGCAGGGAAGTGGGGAAGAGGGATTTGGAGAGGAAGAAGGACCTCCACTGTGCATATGTTCCCCCCCCCCCTCACCACTCACCCCCAATGTGCATGTGTTTTCCCCACTGCCCCATCCGCTGCTCTCCCCTCTCGAATGGTCCTCTCGAATAATCCTCTTCTCGTTCCCTCTCCCTCCTCTCCTCCTCCGCTTCTTCCCTCTCTCACTCACCCCAATGTGCATGTGCTGTGCTCGCTCCACCACCTCATCCAGTGCTCTCCCCTCTCCCCTCTCCCTCTCCTCTCCTCTCCTCTCCACTCCTCTCTGGCATCTCCCTCTCTCCCTCTCTCACTCACCCCAATGTGCATGTGTTCACTCCACCGTCTCATCCGCTCCTCCAGCTGCGGCCACGGGGTGCTGTGAATCTCCGCCTTGGTCATCGACTGCACGCCCAGCCGCTGGAAGTTCCTCCTCAACGCTGCCTCTCTTTTCTCCCTGTTGGCAAGGCAGACATACGAAGGAACGAGGGGAGAGGGAATGGAGCTGTTATGGTGCTGTGGATCTCCGCCTTGGTCATCGTCTGCACGCCCAGCCGCTGGAAGTTCCTCCTTAGTGCTACCTCCCGCTTCTCCCTGATTGCAGGACACACATACAAGGGAACCGAGGGAAAAGGGGAGGATGCTCATATGCTGCTGAAGCTCTCAACTGAGGCTCTCCGCTGAGGCTCTCCGCCTTGGTCATTGTCTGCACGGCCCGCCACTGGAAGTTCCTCCTCAATGCGGCCTCTCGTTGCTCCCTGTTTGGTTGGTTACGGACACGGGGACCCAGGGGGCAAGCAAAGGGGGGTGCATGGGGCCACGGGGTGCCGTGGATTTTGGCCTTGGTCATCGGCTGCATGGCCAGCTGCTAGGATTTCCTCCTCAATGCGGCCTCTCGTTGCTCCCTGTTGGTTTGCAGGTCATGAAAACCAAAGGGGAAAGTTAGGGGGGCCTTTGGGGTGCAGTGGTGTGGATCCCCCCCTTTGGTTCTGTCCGCCATTAGGAAGCCAACAACCAACAGGCACAAAACCAACAGGCACAAAACCAACAGGCACACAACCAACAGGCACAAAACCAACAGGCACAAAACCAACAGGCACACAACCAACAGGCACACAACCAACAGCCACACAACCAACAGCCACACAACCAACAGGCACACAACCAACAGCCACACAACCAACAGCCACACAACCACACAACCACTTCTATAGCTCTCCAGAGTTTTTCCACACCCCCTTCTCCGCCTCCACTCCCCATCCCTCTCCCTCCTCCCCCCTTCCTCTCCCCCCTCCTCTCGCCATCCTCTCCCTCCTCTCCCTCCTCGCCCCCTCCTCTCCCCGTCATCTCCCCATCCTCTCTCTCACTGTCCTCCCCTCCAAACACACACACCCAGAGCCTACTTGTAAGCGTGAGTGCAGTCGGTCGCACATCCATTCTCCACCAGCCGCCAAGCCATGGAGTGCATCCTTGGTTTCCCTCCCTCCCCAGCCAATACCCACCTGCTACCTCCACCACCTCACCCCTTCCACCGCTCCCAGCACCCCCACCCCCGTCCAATCTCTCCCCCCCCCAGCACACACACCCAGTGCCTACTTGTAAGCGCGAGTGCAGTCAAACGCACATCCGTTCTCCACCAGCCGCCGAGCCATGGCGTGTGTCCCCCTGTTGTTGCCTCTCCTCCCAACCAGCACCCACCTGCTACTTCCCACACCCCATCCTCGCCACCCTTCCCCACCCTTCCCCACCACCCCCACTCCCTTCAATCCCCCCGCACACACCCAGAGCCTACTTGTAAGCACGAGTGCAGTCGGTCGCGCAACTGTTCTCCACAAGCCGCCGAGCCATGGCGTGCAGCTTCGGCAGCGCAGCCTCGGCAATCATCTCAGGGGGCGTGATCTGGTCCGGCGACTCCTCCGACAGCATCGCCTCCCGAAGCTCGTCCAGGTCCGGAAAGAGGCTGGAGGGGGAGGAGGGGAGAGGAGGGAGAGGGGGGGGGGGGAGGGGAGGGGGTGGGTGTGAGGGGGAGTGGGTGGGTTGGGACGATTGGTGAGGGATTGATGGGGGATTGATGGGGGATTGGCGGCAAGGGAAGCACAGAGACGCAGAGGCCCATGGGATGTGCAGCCTCCCGTGCTATATGCCATGCCGACACTCCTTCTTTCACGTGGGATGTGCAGCCTCCCGTGCTATATGCCATGCCGACATCGACTGGAAGGTCTTCAAGCTGTCAAGGATAGAAAGCTAGACCTAACCTTGGAGACTTCTGAATCAACCCAACCCAGCAGTCACCTTGTCTCGTTGTCTCCCGTCCTGTTGCTAACATTGAGTACAAGGTACTCAAGCTGTCAAGGATAGAAAGCTAGACCTAACCTTGGAGACTTCTGAATCAACCCAACCCAGCAGTCACCTTGTCTCGTTGTCTCCCGTCCTGTTTGCTAACATTGAGTACAAGGTACTCAAGCTGTCAAGGATAGAAAGCTAGACCTAACCTTGGAGACTTCTGAATCAACCCAACCCAGCAGTCACCTTGTCTCGTTGTCTCCCGTCCTGTTTGCTAACATTGAGTACAAGGTACTCAAGCTGTCAAGGATAGAAAGCTAGACCTAACCTTGGAGACTTCTGAATCAACCCAACCCAGCAGTCACCTTGTCTCGTTGTCTCCCGTCCTGTTTGCTAACATTGAGTACAAGGTACTCAAGCTGTCAAGGATAGAAAGCTAGACCTAACCTTGGAGACTTCTGAATCAACCCAACCCAGCAGTCACCTTGTCTCGTTGTCTCCCGTCCTGTTTGCTAACATTGAGTACAAGGTACTCAAGCTGTCAAGGATAGACAGCTAGCCCTAACCCAGGTGACTTTCGAATCGACTCAAGAAGTTACCTTGATTCATAGTCTCCCGTGCCATATGCCAGCATCGATAGGAAGCTCTGAAAGCTGCCAAGCGCACAAAGCTAGCCCTAACCTGCTGTTCCCCTTCCCCATCTGCTGTTCCCCTTCCCCATCTGCTGTTCCCATCCCACCATTTGCTGTTCCCGAACCCAATCTGCTGTTCGTTCCCCCAGCTGCTGTTCCCCCCCCCCCAGGTCTGCTGTTCTCCTCCCCCCATCTGCTGTCCCCTTTGCCCCATCTGCTGCCCACCTTCCCCCACCAACTGTCCGCCTCCTTTCCTTGCTGTCCGCACTTATTCACCCCGCACCCCCCACACCTCCAGCCCGCCTTCCCCCTCTTGCTGTCCGCCACACCCTAGCCCCACCCACGCCCCACCCCTCTGCACACCTGCTATCTGCGAGCAGCCAGTGGAAGTCCGCCTTCAAATTCTCCATGGCCCGCGCGATCAGGTACCGCCCGGGCTCCCTCCATGCCACCCACCCCCAGCCTGCTGTCCGCCATTCCTCACCCCACAACCCCCACCCCACCCCGCACTCCACCCCTCCGCACACCTTCTATCCGCGAGGAGCCAGAGGAAGTCCGCCTTGACACTCCTCATGGCCTGCGCGATCAGGTACCGCACGACTATGAAGGCCCCCCAACCAACCCACCCCACCGCTGCCCACCGTTCGTCACCCCACAGCCCCCACCCCAATCCGCACTCCACCCCTCTGCACACCTGCTATCCGCGAGCAGCCCATGGAAGTCCGCCTTGACATTCTCCATGGCCCTCATGATCAGGTACCGCCCGTTGCGCAGCTCCTCCTCAATGAACCGCACTGCACCGTTCAGCCGATCCACAGCGTCCAAATACGTGTAGTACGCGTCGCTGTTGCGATCTGGACCGTCCATTATGACATCCCTGACCTGGAGCAGCAGTGTGGGCCGTATCAGTGAAGGAGGGAAAGATGACGGCCAGGAAAACCGGGAAAGGCAGAACTGACGGACAGAGGTAATAAACTACCAGCTAAAACATGATTGAAACGAAACCGAGAAACGGCATGAATATTACTGAAGACCCGGGTGCGTTTTGAGTGTACTGGAAGGGCGTTGATGCCATTGACTTGACCTTAACACCACCGACTCTCAAAGGGGGCCATCGTGCATGGTTCTTGACTGCTGTTTCAACCTGAGACCATTTCTGAGTCGACTCAAAAGAGGTGACTTTTGAGTCGACTCAAAAGTAATCTCAAATGGGGCCATCGTGCATGGTTCTTGACTGCTGTTTCAACCTGAGACCATCTGAGTGAACGGATCTCAACATAACACCTGGTTGGGGACCTCTACACGCGATGAAGGAACTGGAGGCTCTCCCTTCCATGAGACATTGCAACATCTACGCATGGTCAGCAACCTCGTGACTGAATGAAATTCGTTTCTTAATCGTAAATGCGAATTTTGTTATAATTACCTGGTTGGGGACCTCGATATGCGTTAGAAGAGCGGCAGGGTCTGATAGGCGAATGCCGGGACTCGGCAGTCCCTGCTCTGCCGCCATGTCGAACAACGCGGCGTGATATTAGCGAGTATGAAGGGTTGGTTTGCGAGCTTGTAACGCGTACTAAGTCAAAGTAGCTCTATCCTCGTTAGAAAGGTCCATTGACGGTTGCCGAGAGTAAATGATACCCTAACGACTAAAGGAGTCGACGATTACTACAATGTAACGACTGCAAGCCCAGGATCTCTCGAGATGGTTACACACCGTAGGGAAACGAAAATATATAAAGGGCTGAGAGAGTGACAAGAAGACGCAGGCAGAATGCGCTTTACACTCGGACTATCGAGACCGCTAGGTGAAAAGGTCTGAAAACGCACGCGAAGAAATGAACGTTATTATAAAGCGCGTCCAGTGATCAGCAGCGACTAGCAAGAAAAATGGCGACGAGTCGAGGCATCAGGGACTCAGCGCTCTGAAAGCGATATCTGTACTCTCAGGACCACATACGCAAGTGACGGCATTGCGAAACCGTGAATATGCCTAAGTTAATTAGTTCTTGGACGAATTATTTATCAGCAGGCCGTGGGAAAATAACGATGCGAGTGAAAGACTCCCGGCGGATGCTTGTCTTATGTGAGAACTAAGCAGAAGACTGGAGAAAGGCTGCTAGGCTGGTTAGTGCTGCAAACGGGATACCCGTGAAAATGCCTTCGGACTCGTGAAAGCAGTTTTTCAGAAGAGCGATACTGTGGGAAAGGAAAACCACATTGAGTGCTGATGACTACATTCCAATACTTTTGTCCGTTACAAAAATACAGACATATCTTTTTTTGCTTATATGAGCTATTGTTACGGGTGCAATGAATCGAGGTAGCGAGGATTGCAATAAGTGTCAAACGAGTACAAAATGTGAGCGAAGGCATGCGCGAACATTTATACACGAAACATGCAAACGGTAACGCGGTGCGTGCGAGCTAGTTGGTGCTACGCTGGCTAGTCCCGAAGCGTAGGCCGACACGGCCGGGCCAGCAGTGTGAGGTTTGGTGAAACAGTGCGCGCGAAGTCGGCGAAGCCCCGTTAGCAGTAACGGGCGAACAACGGCTGCTGCTGTACGCGATGTTGCTGGATGCGCTAAGGAATATCGAGAAAATTCTTTACACTAACCCCCCCCCCCCTTCAAGAAGCCCCCTCCGCTACGCGAGTGCGTGTATATCGCAGAAATCCCGGCTCCTCAGGTACACTTGCAAGGCAGGGTGGTTTTCGATGTTGGTCAGGGGCACCCACTTATCCTCAGTTGGCGTGCGGTCCTTCCAGCGAACGAAGAACTCGATCCTTCTGATTCTCGTGGGGTGTCGAATCCGATGGCTCCGATTTTTTTCGGGCTCGATGACCCGCTCCGATGTAGGGCGAGTCATGGATGGCGGGCGGTGACGCGGCAGTTGGCTCGTGATAGGGATGTATGGGCGAAGCAGGCTGAGGGGGAATGATGGGCTGATGTACCAGTCTGTCGGCAACAGTAAATAAGCGGTTACTGGGGTGACCATGTGGCTAATTTGGAAGGGTCCACAGTAGCGCAGTCGTAATTTCGGGACGATGGGCAGTCGTAATTTCGGTACGTGACTAGGCGGTGGTGGCGGTCAGCGTTGCGCTTGTGAAAAGAATGAACAGGAATGAAATGACTAAGTCAGAGTTGGGTACAAATACAACCCTAGAAAGCTGTACCCCATATGTGCTACCCCACTATAGCCTACAAACATGCATCAGTTATAATACTCTAACACACCCCCATAGGCAAAGTGGGGGAGAACAAGGGGTCACAAGACCAGTCAAGCAAAGCAAAGCAAAGCAAACTCAGGGTGGATCACAAAGTCACCACACAGTCCGAGCACAAGAGCAGGGCCAGAGGCCAGTTCACATGCAGGAGGACAGACATATATATAAAACTAGATAAGCAAGAGCAGGTATATATATATGTCACAGTACAAGTGAAGTCAAGAGGAGAGCAAGTGAGGCAAGACAGGCACAAGACCCAGCTGGGTGCAAAAGCGCTGATGGTCACAAGGCGCGAGTGCCTTAGTGAACACATCAGCAGTGTTGGCCTCAGAGGCCACGTACGCAAGTCGCAACTGACCACGCTGCTGCAGCTCACGAGCAAGGAAGTAGCGGAGAGCAATGTGCTTCGTTCTGTGCTCCAAGCGCTGCTCTCGACACAAGGCCAGCATGGCCTTGTTGTCTACGTACAGCACTGGAGGAGAACGAGGCGGCTCTCCAAGGTCAGTCAGCAGGTAGGTGAGCCAACGAAGCTCCTGTGCAGCCATGGCCCCGGCGTAGATCTCAGCCTCACAACTGGAGCCGAGAACTGAAGACGAGCGAGTAGACCGCCACGAGACAGAGCCGGAACCAAGGCTGAAGGTGTAACCCTGTGACGACCGCTGCATAGCCTGGTCGTCAGCCCAAGAAGCGTCCGCGTGGCCTGTAAGGACCACTGGACTCCGCCCTCCAAGCACTAGCCCCATGCCCGACGTACTGCACAGGTAGCGCAATACCCTCTTCGCTGCTGCCATGTGCTCTGGTCGGTGTCTCCCAGGAGCAACATAGCGTGCAAGAATGCTCAGAGGGTATGCAAGGTCAGGTCGTGTGCAGGTCATCAGGTACATGAGGCAGCCAACAAGCTCTGCATACGGACCACTCGACTCTACGGACTCATCCGAAGGCAGAGCTGAGAGTGAGTGGCGAGTAGGCAGAGGAGTGGCCTGAGGCGAGGAGTACGTGAAGCCGAAGCGCTGAAGGACCTGCTGCACCATGTGTGACTGAGTCAAGGTAATGGTGCGGCGTGCTCTGTCCCGAGTGATCTGCAAGCCAAGGTAGCTGCGCAGTTCACCCAGGTCTGTGCACGTGTGTCTCTTCTGCAGCTCGGACTTCACGTAGGCGAGTCCAGCAGTGTCCGCTGTGGCAAAGACCAAGTCGTCAACGTACACGAGGATGTAGAACGGCGGCAGTGAAGTGTCGGTGCGCAGAAACAGCGACGGGTCAGCAGTAGAGGGAGCAAACCCAAGAGCCGCAAGCGTAGTCCTCAGTGTGTCGTGCCACTCACGCGGTGCCTGGCGGAGACCGTAGACTGGCCGTCGGAGGCTCCACTGGGTGCCAAGAGGGAAAGTCCCAGTGAAGCCAGGCGGACGGCGCAGCAAGATCTCCTCGTGCAGGCTACCCTGCAAGAACGCAGTGCTGAAGTCGAGAGAGTGAAGCTCGTAGTCGCGCTGAGCGGTTATGTGCAGCAGCACCCGAAGAGTGGTCATCTTCGGGGTGGGAGAGAAGGTCTGAAAGTAGTCAACTCCCTGCCGCTGACTGAAGCCACGAGCAACGTACCGCGCCTTGAAGACAGGTGGAGAGCCCGGCGGCCGCTTCACCCTGAAGATCCACATGCCACTGATGATGTTCGCCCCAGGAGGGGGAACTGCGTCAACGTAGGTGCCTGTGGACTTCCAGGAAGCCATCTCTGCATCCATAGCTGCCTGCCACTGAGAGGAGTAGGGACCCTCTACGGCCTCCGCGTAAGAGCGCGGAGTCGGGATGTCTAGTGCATCCGGGTCTCCCTCAGGAGCAAGCAGTACAGACGCGAGATGAGGTGAAGCAGCAGCCAGACACTATAACTCCTCCTGCCTGTCCTCTAGGACGTCCGTGCCAAGAGCACACTCACCCCCGACGGACGGAGGACAGACAGACGCAGACTCAGCAACAAGACTAGCAGCGTAGTCTAGACGACAGCGAGCAGCAAAGTCGACGAGCTCAGCGACAAGAGCAGACGCAGCAGTGGACTCAAAAGAGGGGTCAGTGACGACAGTAGCAAGCAGACGCGTGACAGTAGGACTGGCAGCACGAAGAGAGTCCGACTCAGGGTCGGCAAGCGCAGGAAGAGAGGACTCAGGAGGAGAAGGCAAAGGGGCACGCAGAGGAGCAGTGGACGGACTCAAAGACATCCGGTGCGTGCCAGGGACAGAAGGAGGACGCTGACGCGAACTGCGACCACTAGCGCGAGCAGCACGAACAGGCGACGCGGGACGAGACGCAGGCTCACGGCGCTCAGCAAGACCTCCAGTAGGACCAGTGTAAGGAGAGGGAGCAGGCAGTGGAGAGGAAGGCTCCAGGAGGGACTGCGACTGGACAGGCGGTGGACCCTCTACCGGAGGAGAAAGACCAAGAACCTGCTGCAGGAGCGGAACGAAGTACGGCCGAGGCCGCGCGGCAGCTCCAGACTCAGCAGGGACAGCACCAGCACCCTCAGCGACAGCACCAGCGCCACCCACACCTCCAGCGGCAGGACCAACAGCAGTAGGCTCAGCACCAACGCCCTCAGCAGCTCCGGCTCCAGGAGGACCCGCAGGTCCAGCAGCTCCGGGACCGGCAGCACCCGCAC